AGACGAAGAGAAGAGGAAGAAAGGAGAAGGAGAGAAAGAAGAGAGGAGAAGAGAGGAAGAGAGAGAAAAAAGAAGAGAGAGAGAAGCGAGGAGAGAGGGAGGAGGAGGAGAGAGAGAGAGAGGAGAGAGAGAAGAGAGAGAGAGAAGGAGAGAGAGAGAGAGAGAGAGAGAGAGAGAGAGAAAAGAGAGGAGAGAAGAGAGGAGAGAAGAGGGAGAGAGAGCAGAGAGAGAGAGAGAGAGAGAGAGAGAGAGAGAGAGAGAGAGAGAGAGAGAGAAGAGAGAGAGAGAGAGAGAGAGAGAGAGAGAGAGAGAGAGAGAGAGAGAGAGAGAGAGGAGAGAGAGAGAGAGAGAGAGAGAAGAGAGAGAGAGAGAGAGAGAGAGAGAGAGAGAGAGAGAGAGAGAGAGAGAGAGAGAGAGAGAGAGAGAGAGAGAGAGAGAGAGAGAGAGAAGGAGAGTAGAGAAGAGAGAGAGAGAGAGAGAGAGAGGAGAGAGAGAGAGAGAGAGGAGAAGAGAGAGAGAGAGAGAGAGAGAGAGAAAGAGAGGAAGAGAGAGAGAGAGAGAGAGAGAGAGAGAGAGAGAGAGAGAGAGAGAAGAGAGAGAGAGAGAGAGAGAGAGAGAGAGAGAGAGAGAGAGAGAGAGAGCAGAGAGAGACTAGAGAGAGAGAGGAGAGAAGAGAGAGAGAGAGAGAGAGCAGAGAAGAGAGAGAGAGAGAAGAGGAGAGAGAGAAGAGAGGAGAGAGAGAGACTGATGGATGAGAGAGAGAGAGAGAGAGAGAGAAGAATGAGAGAGAGAGACCACCATTCTTTTCAACTTTCTTCACACTATCTAACAACAACAAAAATGATAAAAACCGATGATTTTGAAAATGTGAAAAATGTCCCTGGGTGTTTATGTAGAGTACCCCCAAAAAATGAGTTGAAATATCGGTTTCAAATTCCAGAGGCCGTACCATCAGCCAGATCGATTGGGGAATATGAATTTTTGAGAAAATCGCTGATCGGTTCAACGGCTAGCGTTGTTTACAGACTGACAGACGTTTTGCTGCCATTCGATTTTTCGGTTTCAAGGGCCCACAAACGAGATTTTTTGCTACACCAAGTGTTAGAGAATTTCCCCCCTCAATTAAGCAACTGGATCCATCCACTCTTTCGTTACCAGGACCCTGTAATAAGAGTTTGTCTGCAGAAAATTCCTTGTTTTTCGCGCAGCATTTCATAACTTTCTCTCTACTCCCTAGAAATATTTTCGGATAATTATTAAAACGAATAAAATCGTATCGCAGCATGAGCTGAGTTTAGTCTGCGCCATTCTACATAATCTGTAATATGACACATCCGCCCAAAACATTTCGAATAAAAAACTATCTGAATGTACCGATCACACTCGACTCAGTCGGGCATTTACATAGTATCCCGAGGATGGGGAAATATAATAATTAAGAGTCGGATTTTGATGACCTTATACTGATTTAATCGCAGTGTCGAATAGAGTGGAGGCATACTCCTCAAAAAAGTGGCCCAGAGAAAAAATGAAATGGTAAAATTGCAGGAAAAATAAAAATGAGAAGCACAAGAAAAAACTTGCAGAAATGTTTAAAATGTATCGTAAAAATAACCGCGGGTTTGGCTTTTAGTTAGGAATGGGAATCCTGAATCTAATTGTATTTTGTGGTTCGAATGAAAAAGTTTTCGACTGTTCTCCAGAGGTGTGTGACAGCTCATCGCTTTCTTACTCCCCTTGACAAGCGGTGCTACAGAGACTTCCACGTATTGGTGTGTGGTCGACGCAACCGGAAACAGTGTTAACGGAGTAAGGTCTCCCTCTAAGTATCAAGCGTGAGATCCTGGGCCGCTGTGACATTTCGCACAAATACAGTGTGCCCGAAACAAAATAATAGGGCATGGATCGCTTACATGCGCTTGGAGACGGCGCGGTTAATATGTACTTAAGAAGAGAAAGAAAATATCTAAAGAGAATAAGAAAAAAGTGAAAGAACTTGAATTAAAAGAAAAAGTTCAAGAGGCTTGAGTAATGTTTTGTGAAATCCTATCAATTTTCTTCAGTCCTGGATCGTAATGTTTGTATGTAACAAATGTTTAATTTGTAAATCAATGTCATGCATTTTTATTTAAATTCTATCTATTCATATCTGTATAATATTTTGGAAAATATAATACCCTAATCATTTTTCGTTTTGTAGTTCTGAGTTCAACCATTTAATAAAAAATTATTACTACTTTAATTTTGTTAAAAATATTATACATAATTTACTTCTTTAATAATTTATATTATCTTTGTGTTATACATACACAGCCACACACACACAAATTCCCCCTTCCCAATATTCTGGTTCCACCCCTGCCTGAGCCATCTCTGTTGGTATCCGTGGATTATCATAATGTGCTTCTTTAGGTAGGGAAGTGTTCGGGGGACGACCAAAATGGGACTTTCCAGTCTTCTGTGTATTCATTTACTCATTATTGCATTCAGATTTCATTAAAGTCATGGCTAAATGAGAGTCAATGCTAAGTTCAAAATATTACTCTTATTATATTAAAGAAGAGTAAAACCATGTACTATATGGAAATTTTCATTGTAAAATTTGGAGCCATATTTAAGAAAATATCATTTAAGCGTTACTGTAAATGCGAAATTTGAAGCTCTTTTTCACAAAAATATTTTGTGTTTTTAAAAAACTTCATTTGAAATCATTTAAAGCACTTTCACTCACAAATGCAATAATGTATAAAAATGACTGAAAATGTGCATATTATCAGCGTAGAGATATTTAAAAAAATATATATGTGTAATTTTTGAAAAAAACAAAAGGATACATCAAAATTATGTTTATGCCATTTTAAACAGTGAAATTAGCACTGTCCATACTAACTGTTTGAAGAAAAAATTTTTAGGCATTTTGAGAAAATGGCATTTGAGCATATCTGAAAATGTGGATTTTTGAGTTTGTTTTCACCGAAAACTTGTGGGTTTTCATGAAACTTTACATGACTTCATTTTAAGCACGTGTATTCATAAATGCAATAATGTGAACAATTTGCCATTAATATAACTATTGACGACATGAGAGGCTACTCAAAAACATTACTTCTGTAATGTTTGAAAAAGAAAATGATAGAGCAAAATGTTGTTTATGCAATTTCATAGAGTACATTTAGTATTATACCAATCAAAAGTTCAAAGAAAATATTTAGAGCAATTTTGAGAAAAAAATCTTTTTGTTATTGTTTAGAATTGCTTACAATATTTTGCAAAAACTACTAAAAGTTTCCCAAAATATGCAAATGCAAATGAAAGAACTAATTGTGTAAACCAAATTTCATTTAAAGGAAAGATCTATCTTCAATTTTGTACTTCTAAGAAAACTGAAAAAAATTTAAACTTTTGCCATTTTCAAAAATTCATGGTTATTAATGAAAATTGAACCTATGCTACCTTTATACGGATATTTCACTCTATCCTGGCAAGAAATTTGTTAAAAAATTGAGCCATTTTTGAGAAAATTTTGAAAATGTCCATGAGGCTCCATGTAAAGAATCAAATTTTAAATAAAGTTTTTCAAAATTGCAGCATCTCGAGTCAAGCCAGATCGTCCAGGGATTATCCATATTGGAAAAAATTGCACGGATGATTTAGTCGCTACAGGTGCTAACAGACTGATGGACGATTTGGAAGAAAAAAAATAGTATCAGGGGACCCCAAAACGAGTATTTCCGTTGAAATCGATTTTCAGCATCATTACATAACTTTATATATACTACTTATATTTTTTCATATATATGTACATATATGAGAAAGTAGAAATCAATTTTTGTTTGCATTTTATGCGCTACTGTACCGTTCACCTTATTGCGATAAAACTTTATCAACTTATTGCTTGCACTAGCGCGAAGAATATACGGAAAGTACAATGGGAATGTGCATGTCTGTCGCACATAGTTGCGGGTTGATTTTACGCGTTAATGCAGAGTCAAGTGCCCCTGAACAGAATCTCTACGCAACCCGCCGTACCCCCACGTATTAAGTGCATCATTGCTGCATATTCTGCCCCTGCGATTGTACAGTACCTGGCATAATTATTACTTGTACGTTTTATCATACATGCATATCAAATTTCTCCAAGTCAATATCATAGCAAATGCATATCTAAACTTAAGGGAGAAGGTTTTAACAATAGTGTACTTGACAACCATGTCCAAACCAGGACATAGAACAAACCCATAATAACAAAAGTCTTCCCTCTCTTAAAATGTTTGTCAAGCATAGCATAAAACATGATCATTAGCGTGTGAAGCATAATACATTGCAATAGTGAAGCACTGCTGGGTCCACTAGCTACAGATAAAACCCACTGCAATATTATGTCCAAGGTTAAATTAAAAAGAATGAAAACAATAAAAACCTCTTTATTTTCTACAAATTGTCACAACTTCCATTCAGTGTTAAATTATTTTTAAATTCACATTCTCTATTCTTCAATAAATCATAAATAAATACTATATCAATCCAAAGATCTTTACAGTTCTTGCACATGAGATGTCTTTTTAATGCCTTCTTTCAATAATGGAAATGATTTACAATCAACAAACAATAAATAAGTCTTTGACACATACTTGAATGAATCTTGTCTGATGCAAAGAACATCCTCTAATAATTATCACATATCACATATTTATAAACTTAATTTATAATGAGCAGAAATGGAATGCATTAACACTATGCAAAACTGTTTGCAAACTGAGACATTAAGTAAGAGGGAAAAGGTAAGGCATGTGACTGAAATTTTCAGCCTTCAGATCTCATTATTTGAACAGAATTGTGGAAGCAAATCACTTCCAAAAGGAGTGCTTTGCAAACGATTTGGGACACTTCATTACTCAGAAGTCTAAGAAAAAAATATATCAGTATTCTAAATATAAATTTTTTAACAGAGAAATCAATTCACATGGTTCTTTCGAGATTGCAAGCCTTATAATCATAATTGTAATGAAACACAATTAAAATATATATTTTTTACTGCACTTTATTTTTCTGTAGCTGAAAAAAAAAAAAGTTTAATTCTTATCAGAAATAAATTTTCTGCAACAAGATTAATATCCATTTTTGTTTTGGCATTTTGAAAGTGCTATCACATATGATAATTAAAAAATTTCAATAAAATTATGAGAACTCAAATACGAATGCAACTTACACACAGGATAAACATTATCAAAATGCCACAAGAACTTGAAGTAGGAAGTTGTAATCTTTTACTGCTTAACAACAGATAATACTACTATACACGTTGTGAAAGGAATCTTCTGCTTTGTTTTCAACTTTTTAACAAAGAACCAGAGTGATTTTTAGCAATTTTGTGAAAAATTCCAAAAAAGTTATTTTCGTCATCCACCTCAAGTACCATACATTTCAGCATTAAAAAAAATTATATTAAGACAGTAAATATTTATAGACGATTAATTGGACCCTGTTCCCCTCCTGGAGTATAAAAGATAAGTTTGAGCACACCAATATACACATTTATCAGTTAAAATTAGAGGATTTAGAATTTTAAAAGAAAAATATTTTTTTTATGAAATATCTGAAGTTAAAAGGAGTTTAATTAATCCAAAATTCATATTTTTCACAAAGAAAGTCTAATAACAATAATTTAGTAGGGAAAATTCTAAAAAAGAACTAAAAATGCAAGTTCCAAAGCACAGAATTTAAATTTATATTATAAACATTATCTTTTTAGGATTCTCTCTCCCCTTGCATATTAAATATTGCAACATAAATTAATCACTGTCACATTTACAGTTTCTTAAAACTGATCAAAAACATTTCAGAACAAATAGCAAAATTTACACCTCTTACATCCCAAACTCTGTTTTTTGACTCACTACTTCAATTTAATATATTTAACGCTATATACTTTTTTTATAGATATACTGAACTTTGTGTCAGTGTAATGTAAATCAGTATATCTGTGAAAAGATACTCTCACATTTCCAATACAATAATTACAGCCTCTTTTTAATATATTTTTCAAGTTTTTTAATGCCTCGTGTTTCATGCTCAGGGCTGGTGACAAGAGGAAGTGGTATGCTTGTTCCAGCTGCTTGTTGATGGTTGCGATATAAATCCAGAATATTTTTATATTCATGGCTCTTCATTCCCTGAAAAGAATAATTGCAATTGTAAGTAACACAAACTTTTAAGTTTGAGTATGATACCACAATAAAATAAAAGATACAATGACAAGCACTTTCATATGTTATATAATAATTCTAATAATAAAAATCTGAAACCCACAACAAACCCAAGAAACTACAACATATACCGTTCTTGAGTTCCGGGTAATTTTGCAGGGATCTAAGGCTCCTCTGAACAAGGAGCTAAAAATTCATATTTATTTTTTTTGAAATTTTTTAAGCCGAACAATATATAATCTGAATATACTGAATCTACAATCTGATCTATATACATGATCTTGCAGGCACAATGAAATGCCAAAAGTGAAGAACAAGAACCTGCACCAACTGAGCAATATGTAAAAATTTCCCTTCTACAATATCAATAAAGAAACAGCTTTCATCGCAAATGTAAATGTCTTCTATTGATATCTTTCAACGATGAAATGGAGGGAAACACAAAGACCACAACTATAATTCTTACCTTCATTTCCAGGAGCTTCCGCAATTCAGCTTCTGTTGCATCTGGTAGCAATTTGCAAAACTGTTCCAGAAATGCTGCTGCTGGTTCACTAGGGACCATCACAACTTTGAGAAGCATCTCTGCGCGTGCCATGCCTTGAACTACCACTTTCGTGTAGCTTTGAAAAGAAAAGCAATTCAGCTGTAATTCATTAAATTGTCTATTCATCAAATTTCAATCCTTAAAGTTGTATTCCTTATCAATGACAAAAACTTTATTATACATTCTGTACACCTCCATGTGTAATGAACATTCATGAACATTAGGAAACTTTATGAACATACTTTTGGAATTTCTTTTCATTTATTGTTATGGTAACATAAGGATATTATAATTTGAGATATACTGAAAACAGAATTTTAGAATTCTACTGTCATGAATAAAAAAATTCTAGAAAACATTTTTTCATAACATATATAATTAAATAAATGAATATATTGGAGATTAGTGCTAATGTTAAAAAAATATTATTCTCCAATAAGTCTAGTTCTACCTGGCTGGTGCCTTGCGAGACACAGAGCAACCCAAAGATGGCAGTTCCAGCAACGCTGTCTTCAGCATGTGTGTGTCAAGCAAAAGCTGCTCTGCACCAACTGTGCTCACATTGCGGCACTTGCTCAGCTGCTTCAAAAGGCTTGGAATGAATGAATTGGCAAACTTCACGCAAAATTGAGTAAAGTACTTGCGTGACGATGCCAAATTCTCACGCACAACAGGAACAGTCTGCTTGAGATGAGCTGTCACTGCAGTTACATATCCACTTTGATCCCCTACAGTTTCAGTTGTTTCCCATGAGATCTGTGCATTTAGATGGAAAAGAAATACTTGACATAGTTAACTAATCGTGTAATAACAGTGTACAAGAGTGCTTTTAATATTTATACAGTTCAAAACATTTCAACAAATCAGTCCTAAAGAATATTGAGTGCAATATAAATTCAAACATCAAGATTTAGATCATTACCAGATTTATAACATGAGAAAGCAAGTCTATACACTAGTAACAAAAATACATTGATTTTGTTTTAATGAATATAACAAGACATTTCTTTGGGTTAAACTCTGGAGAACAGAGACTAATCATATATGCATTTTAAATTTCATCGAGGCTGATTTACTCAATTCTCTCTTTCCTTTACAAATGCCGCAGAAAATATTAATGTGAATGACAGCTCACCTTACTCATGACAGCCAGTGCTGGTTCACATGCAGCTTCTAGATCCTGTACCAAGAGCTGAATGCAGCTGGATATGACACTGTAACAACATCATACACATCAATCTTTACATTCAGTCATGTTTATACAATGGCTTTAATATCCCAACTAGATAGAACAAAGAATAAAAAAAATTCTGAAAGATTAAGAAAACTTAACTACAATTTCAAATTGGCCAAATTGTTCAAATCAAATTATATTCATTACTTAGTAGTTAAACACTCTGCTTTTTGTATAAAAAAAGCACAATCAATCCCTTTCTATCAAGCAGAAATTCAAAGCTTGCTGTGAGTTATTAAATAGATCATGTATGGAAATCAGTGCTTAAGGGCAATCCATAATCAAAATCAAAATTCAGAGATTTAAAACCAACGAAAATGAATGCAGACAATAACAGACACCCAAGGCATCTTCAAGAGGCTTTCAAAACATTGGAAGATCAATTATTTCAGACTATGATTTTAATCATCTTTAGCTTTTTGTGCTCCAAACTCTTCAGGTCCTCATTCTGTCACCTCTTCATTTAATCTCACTCATGTGCTCCTTTGCACTTGCAATGCACTGGCATTTTATAAGATTTGGATCATAAAAGAGGAGGCATTTGGGTAAGAAACAATGAAACATGAACAGTTTTTATAACCATACTTCTAACCAGTTATTAGCTTAATGATCTGTTTTACAAATTGAAACGACATAGCACTGTCCTTTGCACTGTTCGCATTCAATGTTCTCTGTTAGATGGCACCATTTGTTCTCGACAAAATTTCTGGAAAGCGAAATGGAAATCAAACGCAAGTTTCCTGCTTGGCTAGTCGTGCAGCACCCATTGAGCTATTGTAATAGGATACATAATACACCCATTTAGTTTATCAATGTAAGTATAATCAACTAACAGCGTAATAAACTGTCAAACAATATGATCTTATACTACAACTCGCATGATAAGAAATCTAAGAATTGTTTACTTTACAGTTGTGCACATCCTGTCAAAATTCAAACAAAAGCAGCTCTGAAAAGAAGGAAAGCAGTACAAGGGTCTTGACGTAAAAGTGAAAGTCCAATTTTGCAATGTCGAGCCTCACACAACACATGAATTGCACATGGTTAGAATATAAACATCTATAATGGATTCATATTGGGAATAAATAAATAAACAATGTTAAGAATCATCCAGAAGGAATTCGAAAAGGGGGTAAAATATTAGAAGTAGCTTTTGAAATAAGTTAAAATTTCAGCAAAGCAAGTGAACCAGAGGGCAATGAACTTTGGGGAACCCTACGAATTAAAAGGCGAAATTTTCAAAACCTCTGGAAGGTGCCAAATCAGAATAGAAGAAATTGGAATATAAAACAAGGTTCCAAAAGATCTCAGTGACAGAGGAAAGCGAGTGTTTTTGTTTTGTTTAAAAACAATCAAAAGACTAGACTGACAGGAAGACACAGAGGGATGATAGATGCCGAGCCAACAATATGATGCAGCATGTGCTGGCAATTTTCACATTTTGGAGAGAGTGAGATTAGTTATCGGAGAGAAGGTGTGTTGGAGTATGCGCCGATTTCAGTAATTAAATAGTTGGGAGTCAATGCAAGAACTAGATATCGTAGGTTTTGCTTAGAAACGCATAGGAAATGTGGTAATGTGGAAATGATGAGCCCAGCTAATGGAATGGTATGGTGTAATGGTGGATGAAGCAAATTTGCGGGCTGATGGTATCATCATCATCATCATCATCATCATATTCAGGGAAGTGGACATCCCAGATATTACCCCACGTGTATAGAATATATATTTATGAGAAGGCCAAGCACTGTAATAAATTTGGTAAATACCTTGAAATAACATGGATGGCCACCAAACTAATAATGTGCCCACTAATAATGTGCACAATATGGATGGGAATTGTGTGAATATTTTTCTGTATTAAGTGTGAATGTGAATTGAGATTCATTGTTATTGAGCAAAAGGGTATTTTTTGTTTTGTGTTATGATTTTTATCACCAGCGCCACACAGGAAAGTGGCGACATTGCAGATTAACACCGCCAAATAAATTATTGGTACCATTGGTCACAGTGCTGAATATATTTGAATGAAGTCTATGTTTGTTATTTTTCGTTTATAGATCAAGAAAGGTAAATACCCCTCCCATCACTAAAAATAAGGAAAAAAATTCATAAATATCATTTCCTTATCCTGTACACGAGGGACTTCAGTCTCGCGATCCTAATACGAATATTCCAGTGCCAATGCTGCTTGTGCCAAAAAGATTAGTATAAAAATTTAACCAGATATTTTGAATATCAGGTAAAATGAGTAAAAGATTTTAAAATAATTACAATACAGATAGAGACAACGGGATGGTTACACACACTAGAATAACAATTAACAACACAATTTTCTATCAACCATTCTCACTAAATGTCTTGCAAGTGAAAGTAATGGACCAGCTAGCATGGACATTTCCCCATTTTGCTGCCAAGAAAATTCTTAAAAAGAAAAAGAATCCCAACTCTGTTCTATTTTTTGGTTTTCCTGACTACTGTTCTTCTCTCTTTGTTTTGAAGAAAGTGAGGACATCAAATCTGTGATGCATTTCTTTGCTTGTGTTATTAAAGCAACGTCCAACCCAAAAGAAACTTATTGTTAACAGGGTTTTAAAATAAATTTTAAATTTTATTTAAAAATTCATTTTTAAAGATATTTTATAGAAAACCCTCTGATGCTTGACCAACAGCTGTGGGGTCCACAAAATTCTGATCAAGAACCACCCAGCTGCAGGATTACTCACTTATGAAATACATCCTGTTCCTGAGAGAGACTGATGCGATCAGCCAGCTCAGGCTGCACCTTTTCCTTGAGTTTCTGCTCCAATTGTTGTGTAGTCTCCAGGCAATACTCGGCTGTTGTTAGCACACTGCAAATCAACAAGCCAACTAAATACGATAATGAAATGGCTACAAAGCCCCATTGGTTAAAAAAAAATAAATTTTAAAAAATATCTGCAGTAATCATCCAATTAGGTTCTGTGTTTTGAGTTAAAGTCAAGAACAATATAAAAATATGAAACAAAGCACAAACACACCTGCATACTCGGGCCTGTTCCTCAGGAGTGAAGCGCAACACCTCATCTTCTTTCATGAAGCTGTTGAAGAGACTTACAGTAGTTGACAGGCCAGCAGATGCCCCTGCAGGCCCAGGAGGACTCACACGACGCAGCCTAGGGCACAAAATGTGGCTATTTTTTAAGTTCGCAGCAAGTAAAACGTGACAAAATTGGAACTGAGGAGTCAAAGAAACATTTGGTCCTTGAATTAGCTCATTTTAGAGCTCTCGCTCTCTCTGTCACTGTCATTCACAAGCAACCGCATGGACTCAAAACAATGCTGCACTTAAATGTTTCAAACAGTTAAGGTTTTTTATTGATCAACACATGTGCTTCCAATCCCATGGTACGTCCATGATTTGTCTTTTGACACAATACCAGATCAATTATCATATAAATCTGTTTAACAATGTCAACTACTGGTATTTGTATCCAAAAAAACAAAAACCACACACACCTCTCTGTCTTTAAATACATGTACTTAAGCATATTAATAAACAAAACAACATGTCAACCCAAATGGCAGCAGTCACTAAGGAGTTGCAAGTTCATGATCTCAGTGAGCATGGGTATTTTTACCCTTGTTTAGTAGGATGATTGGCTTTCCCATCCTCCCATGTATCATCTTTCCTATCACATGCTGCTATTTTTTGCTAGCTGGAGAGGTGAAGGGGCTTGTGTATGAAGCAATTACCCATTACATCTGGGTCAGTGGCCCTAACTGACCTTTCAGTTGTGTTTGTGGCTTGGGATACATCCCAGGTGCCTCATTTTACCAATACACTCCATACCCTGATCGGTAACTGTGTGATCTATTCATGATCTCTCTGTGTGCATGAATAAGGAACTGGCTCTCCACTCCCACAATAGCGGTACATGCCCCATGATGGGCCATAAGCTGTGCATAAAAGTAAAAGTAGAGGACTGAGATGGGCCCTAGGGGAATCTGAATGTGATACTCAGGAAGCATGAAGGGGCTCCTCACTGGAAAAAGTTCTCAGGGAAGCGGGAGCCCCTGGTGGGTTCCTCGGATGCAGACAGATGGGAGCTGGGAAGGGGTTGAGCGAGACCCTAAGAAAGTCCCAACCAAAAAGAAAAAGGAAACATGTAATCTAATGTAGTATAAACATTTATATAAAAAAACATTAGGCTATTGACATGATCACAAGATAGTGATATCCTCTCACAATCATCCTGAAATGGAAACAAAATGTTTGCTCGGTTGAAAATGTGAAACGTTAATTACCAGAGAATAAAAACATTCCAAAATAACAACACCAATTCCATTCTTAAAATAAGTCTTAATGATTCAGAAGTGGACACAAACCATGATTTGTAAAGGCATGAACATTCTGAAAGGAAAAATGAAAGAGGAAAGATGGGCTGCCACTCTTCTTTTTATTCCTAATTTCTATCCCTTCTCTCCCTCATACTCACATATGTAGCCACCCACGCATACACATATTCAAACACACAACAAAGTGTCTGTTGGAGTTGTAAGGTGCTCGATAAGAATCTCCACTTACTTTGGCAAGCTTCCGAGCAGCAACTTGTTCGCGTATTCGCGCAGGTAGCGTTGGAATGTGGTTGCTAGGCCAAGCATGGGCTCCCCTGTGCTGAGCTGTGTGCATTGCACCATGCACTTCTTATAGAACACAAAGAGATCAGCACAAGAGGAGAGCACTGCACCACCACCTTCGCCTGGCAAAGCTCCGTCTCCATTGCCACCTGGAGCTCCAGAAGATGCTGCTGACTGCTGCTGTTTGGCATCTTGGACAAACCGATCAATCAGCTCAGAGAGGTTTCTGGAAAGATCACACTAAGTACACTACTGATTCCAGGAGAACATACATATTGTTCTCATCATTGGTAAACAAAATAATTCACCTCTTTTCTCATAAATGCTTGAAAATAATTCACCATCATTGAATACCTCTAAAGTTATTTAAAAATGTAATCGTACTACTTCAAACATTTTCTTCAATAGGAGGCAGAAGACTACATTAATGTGTAAAAAAAAATTTTTATAGCCATGCATTGGCATATTTTGCCTTGATACACTCCATGATTCCAGATGGGTGTCTGTATGATGGCTACTAAAGTCTATATAATGCGGGTTAATGTTTAGTAATGGTAAACAATATCAGATCCAAAATCCAGACCCAAATTTTGTCAAGGAAACAAATGAAAATATGACAAAAAAACAGAACTGTTTAAGTGAAGTATATGAAATGGAGAAAACCCTTCAATATTAAGTAATATTTAGTGAGGCTTAGGGTACAAGTTTAGGTCCTTCCATAAATTATTTATAAATTGATCAATTGAATGGAAATAAAGTTACAATGACTTTTTTGGGGGTAAATTTAAAGAAATTTTTTTTATCAAATCAACAAAAATATTAATTTTATACAATTGGTAATTGGGTGTAAGCCAGCGAGTTTACATAAACTTTATACAATATATTTACATTAACTAGATCTACGTTTTTAATGCATAATTCAGGCCAGAAGACAAATTTTTTGACAGGTTCTAAAACAGTTGGGCATTTCTCTGGGAAATTTATTTTTCTGACAATCAGATGATCCAAGTGGCAACTGACAATGCCTCAAAGAGTTAGTTCTGTGCATGCAGTTAGAGGCTAGGGATAGTTTACACAAGCGATTTACATGTTTCTGATACCATCACCAAAAATAATATAATGAGAATTGATACTAATCACGATCAAAAGCAGATGAGTATATGTTTCAATGGTTCAATTAAGCCATCAAATGGATATGCATGGAGAGACTATAACACTGAATTTCAAAGAACTACACCATTCGTCCACTTTCATTTAGCTTTTAATGAAACTCAAAATAGACCAAGTTTCTATCAAAGAATGATACGTGTAAATAATATTTTTTATTGCAAAATTGCATCCAGATGGTGGAATGACAAAATAATAGGGAATAAAACAGTTTCAGCACAAGATAGCTAATGGTTGTGAAAATAATGGAATCATCTCTGTGTAGTATTTGCTGATCACAGCCCTTATTTCATTTTGCATGAATAAGTGTCAAAATAAATAGCTGCATAACTGAATAGATTATACAAAAAACTATTATTATAAAAACTATTATTTGTGCATTTTACTAAGAAGTGGGTTCTCACAGGAATCTACGTTTAATAAAAGCAAGGGTAAATATGAGAGGCATAAGAGACGTAAGGGGTAAAGGTGTTCATCCCCCACCTGTCAAGGCTCTCTATGTAGATGTAGAGATACGGCTCGAAGCAGCGCCCAATGAGCCCCTGGAAGGGCGAGGGTGGTGGCTGCATTGAGGGCGGGGCATCCGCTGCTGGAGCCTGGGGCTGAGACTGGGGGGCCGATGAAGTTATGGCGGTGGTAGGAGTGGAGGCATCAGTGGCATCAGCAGCAGGGTTGGTGGGTGGCGAGGAAGTGGTAGCAGCTGGGATGGGGGCAGTGGCTGCCTCGCGCAGAGTGATACCAGTGAAGCGCCGTCCCAACAGCGCCTCCAGGTTGGCTGTTCGCTGCGAAAAAGGCACAAACAAGACATTGGTGGACCTATAGTCACCAGAAGTATTCACAACACTTCCAAGGTAATGAAGAGACATATAGAATCATGATGTGAATATTTTTTACCTCAAAGAGAATGCACACAGAAAATTTCAGCTGCTTATAAGAAGTGAAAGGATTTTTTTGTTCAACTTTTTTTTGGCGCACTTTATCTGCAAGTTTGTACTCCCTAAGAAATAGTAACACACTGACCTCACTCACCTGAAACTTTAACCTTTCAAATAGAAAAATCTCCCTCGAGTTCATCACTACTAAATTGAAGCAAAGGGTTAAAAATGTAACAGTCACTTAAGTTTAGTTATTCAGAAATTTTCAATTTTTGATTAGTATGCTGCAAGATTAATGATGCTGTAGTCTTTTGAGAAACCAACAGTTGGCAACATTACCATCTGCTGCTCTTACATGGCACTAAGAATTAGAATTATAGAAACCCATGATTCAAGACATTTCAGATGGCAAGAAATATAATTTTTGAGATTGATTAAAAAAAACAATACCAACCACTATCAACAACTACTTCCAGTAAACATTAGGAGTTGAAATTTTATTTGGGTACTTTCTTTCACATGTGTATTTGGGTAAATTAAAGCTTGTCATGTTTCGACATGTCACTTTGTACTATTTGTTTGTTAGCCTAACAACCATCAAATAGGCTTGAAAAAATAAGGATTTTAGAGTTAGTAAAGTCCTCTACTCAATTTGTATTTTTCTCACATATCATAGTAGGAAGGGCTCGAGTATGTGTAATGTATGTGAGAATAAGTCATGGAAATAGTGATAGGGAAAGGGAGTAAGAAGAGAGCAGGGAGGGAATGAATTTCGGAGGAGAAGGGGGGAGAGGGGAGAAGAAAGACACGAAGAAAAGGGGAGAGGAAGGGGAACAAAGGACACAAAAGATGGAAAAGGGGAGAGGGGGGAAGATGGATAAAAGGGGAAAAAGAAGAGAAGAGAGAAGAGAAGAGAGAAGAGAAGAGAGAGAAGAGAAGAGAAGAGAGAAGAGAAGAGAGAAGAGAAGAGAGAAGAGAAGAGAAGAGAAGAGAAGAGAGAAGAGAGAAGAGAGAAGAGAGAAGAGAGAAGAGAAGAGGAGAAGAGAAGAGGAGAAGAGAAGAGGAGAAGAGAAGAGAAGAAGAGAAGAGAAGAGAAAAGAGAAGAGAAAAGAAGAGAAAAGAGAAGAGAAGAGAAGAGAAGAGAAGAGAGGGTGAAGAAAGGAGGGTTGGGAAGAGAAGAGAGGGTGAAGAAAGGAGGGTTGGGAAGAGAAGAAAGGAGGAGAGAAAATACATGAAAAAAAAGTGAAAACTGGAGGAGGGAGGTGGTTCGAGGCGTGGGGCGTGGCATCGCACCTGGATGGCGAAGAGCAGCAGCTTCACGTCGATTTCCTCGCGGCGCTGGCGCATCAGCGCCGACAGCTCCGCGCGCGTCACGTGGCAGAACTCGACGGCGATGCGCTCCGACATCTCCCAGTGCGGCGGGAAGAGCGGGCCCAGCTTCTCCTCGAACGTCAGCAGATGGCGCTTGAGCCAGGCGTAGCGCCGGTCCACCTTGTCCAGCCAGGCCGTGTCCTGCGACGCTTGGAACAAGTGCTTGTACTCGGCCAGCTGCAGCCCCACGAACCACTTGAACAGCTCGCGCCTGTGCACCGGATAAAGCGTTCAAAGGGTATTCCTCACGTTCACTCCCATGCAAGACGCAACAAAAACAGTCGCATCGCATATTTAGCCTCCGGTTTCTTATAGCGCCAAAACGTCTATTTACAAGTACATGATCAGAGGGCCGTAGCTATGATTCGCATTACACCTCAAGGGATACGCGATGGGCAGGCTCCGCGAACTTCAAACGCGGAAGAGTATTTCGCCACTTAATGTAAAAGCGAAATTGATACATTTTGGATGTAAGACGTATTGCCCAAGGTGGCAGAAGCTCGAGTTCTTTCGGGGACGGTCTGTTTCTTTTAATAAAATTATTTTTGCGCTGGAAGAAAGAAAAAGAAAACGCTGGCACTCCTCAGTTCGGACACTTTTCGACTCTGACTCTTCTCTTCAGCGCCTGGAACAGGATGATACTTTACACCTCTTGACACTCCTCGAACTTGGACACGTTTTCACGGAGTCTAGGCACTCACGAAGACATTCGCTTCATTAGCCATTGACAACAAAAAGAGAGTACATGTTTGCCCCGATATTTTGCATGCCCCACATTTAAGACGTTGGTCTTAAATAATAATTAAAAAGCTTACTTCCAACAAATTCGATTTTTAAGAAAGGAAAATAATACAAATCCAACCTCATAGTTTCAGACAGGACTCAACGGATACGTACAACCAAAACAAAGAAACACAAAAGAGCGGTAATGAAGATCCGTCACTTTGAAAATAAGACCTTCAACTCTGCTTAAGTTCCTCCTCCTCTGAACAGGTGCGAGGAGACGGCGACGCACCTGACGCGCGGGTCCAGCACGGAGAGCACGCGGCACGCATCGGCCAGCTGCTTCGAGGGCGCGGCGCCGCCGTGCTTGGGCCCCGCGGGGCCCCCGCCTCCGCCGCCGCCGCTCCCGGGGCCGCCTCCGCCGCCGCCGCCCCCGCCGCCGAATGCCTCGTGGAAGTCGGCCAGGATCTGGCGCTCCAGCGTGGCCTGCACCTGCAACCGCCCCGCGCGCCCGTTCACACCCACCGCTCAACCGCCACCGACCAGGCAACTCCTCCTTCACCTCGACTCCGCGTTACACGTCAGACCCGAGATTACTGCGCTTCGAATAGGAAATGGAGCTACGTGAATAATTCACTTCTTATTAATTCAACAACTTAACAAAACTGATTAACCTAAGGGGTTCACGAAAAGAAAAGAAACAACGATTTAGACGACGTACATAAATTAGTTAAATCATTTGGCATCACGATATCAATTGGCATGGCAATTAGCTATATCAATTGGCATCGACGGTGAAGATGAACGGCACACTTTGTAGGATAACAGTTGGATCAGACGTGCGAATTAGACCAGATTTGCACTTCTTGGCAATACAAAAGCATTTCACAGGCGGACTCCCTAAACAAGTTTTCTTGATATTTGGCCCTATGCAATGAAATAACATAAAACATAATAACACAATAACAAAATAACACAAAATACGTTTTCACAATTAACTTTTTTTTAGACTTCGATTAAACAATTAAGTCTGTTGGCACTTTGTCAGCTATGACGCTGTCCTCCAATCGGGAGCTCGAACGTTACTATAGTGACGTCCCTATGTGCGATGTATTACAAGCCCAATGTTCCTTATCAACACATCAAGCAAAACGAAATTGACAGAACTAAATCTGCGAAGATATGTCGAAGGTTTCCGCGACCAGAGTCATGCCAATGATATTGTCTGACCTGGTGACGCCGCTCCGAAGGCTGTATGGCGTACGTTTCGTCCCTCTTATTGTGGACATCCTCGGGGCTGAAGTACCTGAAGCACTCCCTCCAGCCCTCACGAAGACCACGTTAAGACAGTCGGCAACACAGTTGTTGACGCGGCGTCACCCAGACAGCCCAGATCGTTCGTAACACCGCGAAGTTCTCCGCCGGCCTGCTTGCGCTTACCTGCTGCACCTGGTCCGCCAGCTTGCGCACCTGCGGCACCTGCAGGTGGCCCTGGAAGTGGCGCAGCACCTCCAGCACGGCCTGCAGCGGCAGCGCCACCTCGCCGTACTGCCGCCTCTCCGTCAGCGCCCTGCGCCCACCGCCCGCGCCCTTCACTCGCGCTCGTCCCTTCGCTCTCTCCTCTCGACGCAGGGAAAGAGAAAAAGGCGACGCCCGGGTGACGCCGCGTCATACACAGGTCGGCCAACTTTTCGTGAAATTTGAAAGGGGCATGAATCAAACGCACCCCGAAAAGATGGACGAATCGTTGCCCAACGAGTCCATGACGCAGTGCCACCCGGGTACCTGAGAGCTACGATAAGAGATGTTTGTAAGATGGAAATGCATAAAAGGGGAAATGACGAAAAAGGATGGAATGAGGATAACTACACTAGATAAAAGAATGATAAGCTAAGAATGATACGGTGCAAAGGAATCGGTGCGACACTTAAGTTGGAAGAGCGACGAGAAAGATAACGGGAATTTGCAAAAGTTGGGAAATAGAAAAGAAGGAAAGAATCTGGGAGACGTAAATCCAGTTAAGTCGAGAGTATCCCGAAAGTTATTTCACAAAACCACAGGTAAAGATGATCGTGCAAGACAAGTAAACCATTTCTCCATACAACAGCGAGTCGTGAATTATGCGCACAGGTTTTTTTGAGCTCTGGGAGCTCTTTCCTCCACTATCCATTTTTTACCAACTTCAGCTGAATTAAGAATAAAAGATAGCAACGAGTGTAGGCAAAATCTGACAACCAAAACTGTTCGCTTCCGCATAACAGAAACTACATTATTTTGCACACAAAATGAACTAAAGATTTGATATGATAATCCTGCCGTCAACACCCCCCTCCCCATCGCTTCCAACGAAACGAGGGCTGAAGACGACGTCACGAATAATCCTGCAACTGGAGGGGAGAGGTCTGAGGACTACGGGTAGGCGGGAGCGTCTGGGAGTAGGAATGCGACGTCGATGCCGATGTTTTCAAAACATCCATCTTTTTATAAAATCATCGATGGATGTTAAATCGATATTTCGAAACCGATGTTTTTTTAACATCAATGTTGTGTGTTCGATGTTTTTACAAGGACGTATTTTATTTTTGAATGACAACTAAAATCATAATCAAAACATATAATAATAATTTAATAATAATATTATTATTATTATTATTTTGAGATGTCCACAAATTGAACATTCTTCAGACCAAGGTGACGAAGAGCGAAGAATAATATTTTACATCGATAAATGAAGTCCATATAAATGATCAATTTTCTAATCAGATAATAAAAGGTTTTGTTAATTGTCCTGATCATTTTTTACCGTTTTGCCGGTTAAATCTCAATTAAAGTAAACAAACCGCGACCACCGTCAAATTACTCCCCTCCCCACCTCGCATTAACGGAAATGGTTTAAAATGCAGTTTTAAAAACGTCGATGTTTAAACAAATCAGTTTTTGGAGGCGATGATTTATTAACATCGACACTTCAATTTTAAACATTGATGTTTTGCACAGGGTGTCCATTCATTTCCCGGAACAAATTTCTCCTTTTCCCAGCTGTCCTGTGAATTTTAATTTTTTTCTGATACTATTTGTAATCTCACATTATTTAAATAAAATATTAAACCTACCCTAATACTAACTGATCGGCTCTCAGATTTTGCCGTGATAAAGTACAAATTAACATTTCCTCGCCAAATAAAACCGGGACAAAAATGATTGCTGTAATGCACTAATATTTTTAAGGAATTATTATCCTCTCCCAATTTTCCCTGACTTCCAATGATTCTTCCACAATTCCCTTGATTTTCCCTCAGACTTTTCCAGACCCACGCAATTCCCCGATTTCCCCCGTTCTTTTCTTCAAGTCTTTCGCAAAGCGACCACCCTGTTTGTCGGCGGGTGCGCGTGGGCGTGGGCGTACGCACTGCAGGGTGTCGACGCCGCCGGCCAGCATGTGCAGGTGGTTGAGCGTGGTGATGGCGGCGGTGAGGTTGCGCTTGGCGCAGTCCAGCTGCTTGATGTCGCGCGTGATCTCCTTCACCACCTCCTCCGACTGCTCGGCCTTCGCCTTGATGTCGCGCACGTGCACGAACAGCTGCTGGATGACGCGCTGCGCCTCCTCCAGCGCCGCGCGCCCGTCCTACGACACGCACTGGCAACTTCAATTCACTCTACACCTGAGCGAGACGTTTCTAGCATTTATTTGCTAAATTTGCTAACTTTTATTAAATTATTATGTTTTCATGTTCGTTTTATGGATACAGAAAACAAAACAAAAATAATTGAAAATTGTTGACTTGTAATATTTAACGGGAAACGCTAATCTCGGAAAATATTTGAAATAATTAAATTAAAATGTTTACAAAGTAATTGGAACATTCTGTCTACAGAATGAACCTAACTCCGTGAAATATTTAAAGTAATTATTAACCTATTATAGCTTTTTGAAATCTTCTAAAGACATCTCTGAACTCTGGTGGGGAAAGTTGTAGTACATCAACAATTTAGGTTCGGTCTCTACAGAGAACAATAATCAACAATTTGCCAAAATAATGATTTAATTCTTTCAAATACCTTTCAAGATTTACAAAGGGCCATGGCCATACCCAAGAGTGAAGAACTAAAATATCTCAAAAACAAAATCCGAAAGGAATAAGTGTCTCGGTGTATTTAAAAGAAAAATCATACAGCAATAATGTGATGAAAATTCGAAAATAAACTATTTTATATTTTTTCACAATTTTTCAGGTATAGAGCTACCTAAAGGTTTCCGGGGCCGGCCTACTCGTCGACTTGCGGGGTTTCCCCCAGCGAGATACCGCCCCGGCCGGCATAAGCTGTAAGCTCCCAGCTGGACTCCCGACACGTGTGGCGGTGGGGTAAGTGTAAGTGGCGCGCGAGAGTGTGTTTGTGTATGTGTAAGGAAAGAATGCATGCAGATGATTCACTGAAGTTTTGTCATGCACATAATTCGGCTGCAACGCCCGTGGAACGTGAGAATCGACGCCGCAGAAGAAACGTTCTTGGATCACAGTCTCGACATTCTTTTTCATGTCCCAAGAGTGATCTCTGTGGTCCTTAATTTCAGAGAGAGTACTCAAGAGTTATGTATGACTTTATACTTCCTATGGTCAGTTAAGGGGAACCGATCGACTGGCTTGGTGGGTTACCCTACTTTTCCAGGCTCCGATGCGTTGACAAGCTCCGTTTTGATTCTCACTAGTTGTGGAGACCACTCCACGCGTGCGGCAGTGAGGGTGAGAACGTTTCAGGCGAAATTGAAATGAGAATTTCGGAAAGTCAATGTTCGTGTCGAGAAAGTAAATATTTCCGTTCATCGGTAACTTGCCTAATGTTCGCCCAATAATGAATTTCTTTGTAAAAGTTGGGATGCTTGGAGAAGGCTGGAAAGGACATCTCTCACAGCGTCTCATAACCAGTAAATGGCTTGCCGGAAGTTGCGTATGTGAACGTAATACAATGAAGGTACATATCCAACATTCTTACATTGAATGTCGGATAAATGATGGTCCTCTGTGAATTTGGAAGAGGTAGGCGGGGCTGACGCGACGGACTGAAAGCGCTAAACTTCTTTGCTTCCTCTATCACAGATGACAGGTTCTGTAAAACATGTTTCCTTGTCTCTCAAATTTTAAAACAATATCAAATGAGAGAAACTGTAACAGTAGCAAAATATAACTATTCAGGAAAAATAATAGAGCAATTTAAAGTTATAGGGCAAGACCAATACCTAATGCTGAAACAAAAATGGAACCAACTTCTCTCCTAAAAACTTAAAAGTTTGAGTTTATTGTCTTGTTTTCTGGTACAAGAAAAATTATGTCACAGTAACATTGTTCATAAACTACTACATATTGGGAGCATCATAATTGTAGTTCTGCAAAACTTGACTAAGAATTAGAATCAGAAAGGGCAATCAGTTGATGATGCAGTAACAGAAGCAAGAAAAAAGAAATGCAGGAACACTTAACCTATTCATTTGAAAAAAGTAAGGAGGAAAAAGACAAAGTGAATGAAAATAGCAAGAGTGGAAATGACACATTTTCCATTTTCAGAAGAAAAAAGATTGTGTGTTAATTTTAGAACTAATAGATCATATTCTGATGCAAAAAGTTTCAAGTCATCCGAAAAATTGTTTTTTTATTTTAATGTCATGTTACAACAATTATTAGATTAGTTAGTAACTTTAGTATGCTACTCAAAACAATTTTACCAGACCATTCAGCACCGATCACTGCACAATAATTGTCTGCAAGACTTAATCACAATTTTTCAATTACATTTCACAAGATCACATAGCTTAGTTGCGTTTAGTCTTCAGATGTCTGTACAAGTAGTTTGATGGCTCCACAGTTGACATGTTGTAGCAAGTGTTGTTCATGCTTTTTGGCAAATTATTGAATCTCTTCTGAGACTGTTTTGATGTTTAAGTCTCTGTGGATGTCATTGTTCTTAACTACCGTTGTTAGCTGTATCATCAGCATATGCCATTACAACAGTTCCTTCTCATTATGGTATATCTCTAGTATTTAGAAGGTATAGCACAGGTCCCAATACACAACCTTGTGGCACTTCCCGGATGTCCAATACCAAGTATTCATCATCATATTTCACTCAAAATTGCCAATCTGCTTTAAAAGATGGTAGAAGTAGGTAATATTCTTTAGGTCCTCTATGAAGTTTGCGTTTCAAAACCTGAGGTCACACTTTGCCAAAGGTTTGAGCAACATCAGAAAATACGCTGGAACAGATCTAATTTGGTTCCAAAGCACTCTGTATTATATTCAATGCACCTAATCTACTATTGAGTGTTTCTCTCTGAACCTAAATTGCTGGTTGGAGATTAAATTTCTTTCTTCAATTATTGGTTTGAGAAGTGACCTTATCAACCTTTCACATACTTTAGCAGTGAAACCACAAATGATAAAACTTATTATAACACAATAATTTCTGTTTTACAACAAATTATAACACAATAATTTCTATTTCACAACTCTTACAAGTATGAGTTGAAAGTGAATTCTTTCCCATCAAAGTAGATCAAAGAGTATTTTGTTCCCACAGAGATGTACAATATATAAAAAGTTACCAAATGTAGATGATGTAATTAAAAAAGAACAGTGTAGTAAAACAGTGTAATTACTCAGAATGGTGTTAAATTGGAATTAAATTAAAATTTAATACCAATAATTTTTATTATAATTAAATTGAATTATAAAGCATGAGTGGACATTTTAATTTATTCTCCAATCTCAATAACATGAAACAAAATAAGAATGGTGATATTACCAATAATATGCTAACAATAATTGTTTCTACAATTTCAACAGGGGCTAATGTAAAGTTGGCCCTGATTTGCTTTGGACAGCAAAATAACTTTTTTTCCATTGAAAATTGCAGCGGTTAATAGTTTTTTACTATAAAAATACGATCTAAATACAAAAATCTCCCATTCAATAAGACCAATCAAAATATAATGTTCCTTTCAAGGGAAAACAGATTGTAAAGATACCATTTTAAAACAGCTCTTACCTGGCCCTTATTGGTCTGGCTGCGAACCACACTACGGATTTCAGAATCAATGCTTCGAATCTTACATTCCATGTTTGCAATCACATCATCGATATTGGAAAGTGATTGCTCAGTGGGAAATTGAGAGTTGATGTAATCAACAGCATCGAAGTCTGGTTGATCAAGAGGGTCATTACTTGGCAGGACCTTAAAAGTTGAAAACTCTTAAGAACAAAGGTGCAAAAAAAATTGTTATTCTTAACTTTAACAAGAGCACAAAATTAGAATTATTTGCAAAACAATTATTTAAGAACAATATTAAAAATAATATTAAAACAAACAGAACAATGAATTTTGATAAAGGTAACTTATTTAAAAGATAATGTTGCTCAAGAATCATATTCCATTCAAATAGAGTAGCTAAGGGTATTCAGGTTTGTTTAGATTCATTTAACCCATTTATTGAATGTAATCAATACTTCTCTTCAGTCAAACTATTAGATTTTAAGAACTTATATAGCCATGGAGATGAAGCCATTACAATTGAAGTAGGAGGGTAATATAATCATGTCAAATTATAAAATAAGATTTGAAAAAACAAAAGATGTTTTAACCCTGCCGTGACCATTCTGTAATAACATAATAGTTCACTTTTTCATCAAAATAAGAAACCCAATTACAACCTTCAGTTTTTGTTCAAATCCTAAACTATCACAAAATATCAAGTTCTTGAACAAAGACATATATACAGAGTAAACAAATATCAACTCTTTAATATAACCTTCAAACGTACCTGTTCAATTGCACTTTGAACTTCAGGGGGAAAATTAATGAATGCATGAGAACCTTCTTCCTCTAACTCGTCGTCTTCAAAAGTCTTCATGGTTAATCTATTTCATAAATGTCACGTCTTTTATTAATACATATCATCAGTAACGTTTATCAAATGACATTCACTAAATGTTTGTCACTTTGCATCAAACCTCTACGCATCTTGAAAATCTATTACCAACATACGTGCAACTGTTTCTTTCGAAACATGTCTATAAATTTAGAAGTAACATTATGTCATTTTTCTTACAAACATATCGTCCTTACTCAGACCTTTTGCAGAGCTCGCTCCTGCCTGGTACCTGACACAGTTCGACACAGTCGGCAGCGCTTGCGTTGCACGAAATTGTACAGCAGTGAAGTACATCGATTAAATGCAATCGATTTAAAGGCGCGAGCTCCCCAAATTTAAATCGTCGGTAGAAAAGTTACCATAAGATTACATACTCTACGTGGTCAAAAGTATCATCAGCGTCCAAAAACATACGTTTTTCATTTTAGGTACATGGTACATACTTTTGATGACATAGTGTAGTTCTTAGTGATGAAAATGTTAAATATAACTAAGGGCAAACTAAACATAAAAGTGCAGCAAAGCATCACCGACGTGGGGGAGAAGGGTAAGTGTCTCTCAACATTTTTTTTTTATGGGCTACTTTAGAGGTGACTTCCTGCTAATCTGTACCTTACCCATTGAATTATTCCCCCTTTAATAATTTGGTTCTGATGGTCCCCTTGCATAGAGTAATACATTTATATTCCCAATTAATTTTCGTCAACTGCCCTGTTCCTGACGGGATGTTTCTGATTGAATAATAAAGAATTAATACTTGGCTTTTCTGGGAATTTATTATACGTCAAATTATTGTTTTGATGGGACAGGAATATGTGTTTTTTGGCGTTACCTTCCCCAATGCTTTAACTCTGATAGGATTGTCGAAAAATTAGTGAGAATAATACAAATATATGGTACAAAAATATTTCGAGGGTTTAGTTTTTATGCGAAATTCCGAATACTTTTTATTACCGATTTTATGTCAGTTATTTATAGCAATGGTTACAAGACATATTATTCGTGTAGGTAGTACCGGAAAAGGTGGCTCAGGGCACCAACTGATGTCACTGAAGTGCCTCTGACCGGGAGGTTCCGATTAGAGTTTCGACCGGTACTGATGGCGGCAGGATTTTTGACACTAGATAGCTATACAGCGATTTATGCAATAGTCTCGTCACTACGGTGACGTTCAAGCTCTTGATTGGATGACTGTCAAAAGCTGATACCTGCTAGGGGCAGAGTTGCGAAAATCGCAGTATAGGCCGAGTTCAGTCGCTGTCTGGAGGAGAATTCCAGCGGCCAACTATTCTGATCGATAGTTTTCCATGGTTTCTCAATACCATGCGAATGCCGGTACAGTACTCTAGCAAACAGACGGCGTGCAATCTTTGCTCTCTTCCTTGTCATATTCTCACCCTTTAATACACACTCACATACATGCACTTTGCATGCAGGGAAATCAATCTGACTTAGAGCTTGTCCCAGCTGGTCATACCTGTTTGGGGAAAATTTTGCTAGCCGACGGTACGTTCACGCCAGATCTCTCCAGCTGACTTTAGCCATTGACGCTCCTCAATCAATGGTGTAGGTGGAACTGTTTCCAACAAAAAGTTTCTTCCTAAAATCCTTTAAGAACTACTGCATCGTAATGTTCAAAAATAGTAAAATAGACAATTTACGTTAACACTATTTATTATTTAGAAATAGTTGGAGATAAAAAATGACTGTATTAACAGGTTGTGTCCGTGGGGAAACATTACCCAAACGTTTTATTCCAAATATGGAATTGGATAGAATTTGGGCACATCTTGAATAGTATCTGCAAGTAAGGTTTGGAACTCCTTGACCCTTCTAATCTTCATATAGTAGAACGAAGATAATTTGGAATAATTGTTACTGGATCCCTTTCGGACTATCAAATTGTACGGATTTTTGAAATGCACCAATAAAAGGGCCGGTAGATGTCTTCATTGTAAAAAATCGTACTAAATTCGTTTGTAATGTTCACTGATGGTTACAGAAGTGAAACGAGGAATAAACCATCAAATGAAGCGGCAATTTTAAACGTTATTAATTACAAATCTCTCTCTCTCTCTCTCTCTCTTCTCTCTCTCTATATATATATATATATATATATATATATATATATATATATATATATATGTAATAACTGGTAAAATCAAGACGTATAGGCGCTGATCAAATAGGAGCTCAGGTTTGCATTGCAGCGATCGTTTGAAGTTACCGCGTTTGGTGTATATCGAAGTTTTTGTGTCGATTGTATGTGAGATGTTGGTGATGCATTTGTTTTGTTCAAAAGGGACAGAAATGGGTATAGAAAGCATCTTTGAAGGTTATGTTTATTAGATGTGTCAGGTTTCTGAGTTGTTGAGTGTGTCCAATGAAATGCTTTTCTTATTAGTTCGTATTTGTAGCGGAAATTATTTATTCGAACATGTATAAAGTGCCTGATGATAATGTGATATAAAGGATATTTTCTTGAGTATATCACTGTCTGTGATATTTTGTCTTCCATTGTCAGAAAATGTTGATATTGACCAGCAATTTTACAGAATACATAAGTTCATAAAATGAAGCAGAAATAGTTAAAAAAATCACAGTTCCTTGCATAATTTGTATCCAGTTCAATAATCACCATGAACTAACCTTGGAAACAAGAGCATAATGTTATATTTTTAATAAAAACAATCATGTTTTCAAAATTGGTGTCTTCATTTCTACCCCGCTCAGTTGGAATTTCATCCATGGTCTCTATATTTGAGTCATTATCTTCATATATCTCCAAAAACTTTGTTGATGAAATGAACCTTAACTGTCAACAGCTCTTCTAATATATAAAGATGGAAAGTAAAATAAGTAATCACACCTGTGATGTACAGAACCAGCCATCAATAAATGTGTTACCAGATGAAATGATTTTGAAGATATTTTCGTATTTGGACATAAAAGATATATGTTTTTCTGTTTGTGCTGTCTGTAAGCGTTGGAATTCACTTACTTATGAGCGAACCTTATGGAAATCTATAAAATTCATTTGCTCTAATAACATGCCTCTCCACTGTATTGAAAATGTTTTGAGGCATGCACCTTTATTGCAAGCTATTGAGCTTCAATGGAGAACTGATGTTGAAATTATTATCAAGGAACTAATCAGCAATTGTGAGGATATACTCCTAGTTAACATGGTATGTTGTGGGAAAGTGAAAGGGGAAACTATAGACTCTTTATTTCAATGCTATCCATTCCTTGAACATCTGAGCTTAGATAAATGCTGGACGGTTGAAGATGGTTGTTATGATGTGATTCATAAATTTACAAACTTGAAGAGTATGAACATTTCTCACAGCAGACATTTTAGTGGGAGCATGTTGCAACAAGTTGTAAATTGTTGCCCTTCCTTAGTGCATATAAATATTGATTATATTCGGGGTATTTCTGACAATGATTTGTTATACCTGATTGAATTGAAGAAACATGACTTGTTGACATTAATACTCTTTGGAGAATCCCTGACTGATGCTTCAATTTGCTCTTTAGAGAAGTGTAAAAGACTGAAGAAATTGCACCTGAGCAGATGCCACCTAATGACTAATAAAGGCTTAAAAAGTATTGGAAGACTGACTCACCTTCGATCTTTGAAGTTGAGATTTGGAATAAATTTGAGACCCAAAGATTTACTTACTTTTTTATTTTCCAAGGCAGTAAGTGAGCTGGAGTATTTGTGTTTATCTCGTTCAGAAAGTTTCACTGATGAAGCAGCAACTGCTGTGGCAGAGAATTGCAAAAAATTGATACAATTGGATGTTGTTCATTGTCCAAATCTAACAGAAGCAGGGCGTCAGATCCTTTTAACAAACTGTGAACAACTTAAGAGATTGAACTTTTCAGAAAGTAGTTTAATTGCAAGTGAAATGATCATTGCACGCTAATGTGCTTTGGAATTATGCTGGTAAAGTCACTATATATTATTTTCATGTAATTAATGTATTTTGAAGTGTGCATGTAAATGAAGACATTGTATACAGTATTATAAATGCTGATATTATTCCCTTTCCTCATAGATTGCCCCAAATTGGGGCCACTTGCAGCAGAATATTTAATTATTTGCATTGCGCATTTGCTGTGGTTGAAGAACATCCCCAAAACTGAAAAGACTGTCAACAATAAACAGAAATTAGCAATATAAACATGTAAGATTGTGATAATGAACGATATTGGATGGCAGATGGATTTACAAATAATCAATGGAATAAAACATTTAGTGTAATTTTTATTAAATTTTTAAAGTTACAAGAAAGTTACATTTGAACATTTTCCATTTAATTTAATTTTTTAATAGCATGATTCTCCAGTCATTCCAGTGCACTTTATGTGATTATGAAATGTAGAGGAAAAATAATATTATGAAATATCATACTGAAGCAGGACAATCGTGGCATTTTCATTAACATATATGCAAAGAAGAGATGAAGTACATCTCATGCTTGTAGTAAATCTTCTGCATTTTGGATAGTTAAGTTTCTTAAGTTAAAAACTTAATTGATATTTTTTATTCTTTTTCTTCCTTTCAATATTTCTCTGTTTAAGTTAATAAAAGACAATCTTTATGGTTATATAGTATAACAGTTCAGTTCACAATAAACTGATGTGTGTTCATGCATGTCTTTGAATGGAAAGAATTGATATAGTTTCCTATTGTGCTCCCTAGTGTCCTGTGAGCAGAGGTCTCATTCTAGTGTTTTATTGCTTTTCTGTCATACATTGTACGTAAGTCCCGTAGCTTATGCTATGAAATATCCAATCAGCCATAATCTTCATTGTGTACTTCTAATAATATACACTAGTATATTACAAACATAGTCTTAACGTATGTGCAAAAATGCATGAGAAATAAAATTTAATATTTTGTTATATTAACATATTATTCAGTAAGCTGAACCAGCTTAATTCATATTGAATATTTTGAAGCACTGTGCAATCTAGGAGAATAATAGGCATGCGTCTAAAAATGAAGTTTTGTAATGTCAACAAAAACGAACTTTCATTTTGAAGCATAATGGCACACTATTGTTCTGTTGTGAAGAAAATAGCAATAAAGTTAATGAAATATGAAATTTTCAAATAGTTGTTGATGTTACTTTTAACACACATGTTTCCTGATAAAATATCCTGTTATTTTCCTCTCCACCTTTCTTAATGGTTTATGTAAGTAACCAATAATAGTAAGGGAGTATTTACTGGGCAGATGAGTTTAAGGAAATTTTCAGTCAAATTTATAACAATATATTGAGAATACTGGTAATGCTATTTTTTCATTTGATGGTGATAGTTTATAAGAATGGTTGATTGATATTTTCTGAATTTCTATTTTACCCAAGCAAATTGAGTTTACTTTATATTCAGAATACTCAAATCTACTTCAAAGGCCTGGGAGGTGCAGAACATCCTTTGACATCATCTTCAT